TTTCAACAGTAACTCATCTTCCTTTCATTTTCAACGTTAACTCATCTTTTGTTCATTTTCAACACTGACTCATCCTCTGTTCATTTTCAACAGTAACTCATCTTTTGTTCATTTTCAACGTTAACTCATCTTTTCTTCATTTTCAACGTTAACTCATCTTTTGTTCATTTTCAACACTGACTCATCCTCTGTTCATTTTCAACAGTAACTCATCTTTTGTTCATTTTCAACGTTAACTCATCTTCCTTTCATTTTCAACGTTAACTCATCTTTTCTTCATTTTCAACGTTACTCATCTTTTGTTCATTTTCAACACTGACTCATCCTCTGTTCATTTTCAACAGTAACTCATCTTCCCTTCATTTTCAACGTTAACTCATCTTCCTTTCATTTTCAACGTTAACTCATCTTTTCTTCATTTTCAACGTTAACTCATCTTTTGTTCATTTTCAACATTGACTCATCTTTTGTTCATTTTCAACATTAACTCATCCTCTGTTCATTTTCAACGTTAATTCATCTCCAAGAAACGCACGAATGTGTACCAAAATATTTTCACTTATCAATTCATCGATTAAAATCCTCTTGACAACTGATTAAAGGTCCGTAAAGCTAACACGAATACCCTAAGCATAAAACAGTAAGATCGAGACACCGAGCTATCGTCAAAGGAACATACTTCGTCAAACAACCATTAAACTCATAAAAATGAATTTTTTCTAACTTTTGAGCACTATCAAGGTTTCATTTAAAAAGAATCCAAACGGATCAATCGTCGAAACCTTTCGCTATTTCTCTGCCGCCTTGCAAAATTCGGTGTCATCGAACCAATTATACGAATACAATAAAAAAGCAAATTCACTTCTACACCCGATACATGCAAAAATCAACCAAAAACAAAGAATAAAATTTACCCAATTGCCTCACATCCAACGATTAGAAACAGAACAACCGTTTCAAACAACGTCCGTTGATTCCCGATCGATCGCAGAAAACAACGTTCCACGACTTAATTATTTGATCATCGACGTAGGAAAGATCAGCTGTTACTCGGTGGATCTGGTTCGACGAAGAAGGGGGGAAAAAAAATGCGGATACAATTAAGACGGGACGTTTCTCGGCCGGTTCGCCTCTATCTATCCGTGGTCCAAGTAGGACTGCTGTTCCACCAGTGACGTATCCATCAATCACAGGCCGGCCGGTGCCCCGTTGCTTCTTCGTCCACGCGACGTAAGAACTTTATTGTTTTAATTAACCCGGCTTTCTTTGTGCCGGCGGTGCGCGTTTCTTCGTGGCGGCTGCGAGCAGTTGCGCACGACTGGCTCCCCTTATTATCGCGCGGCTCTGATCGTTTCGACGAACATCATCACGATCCGAAAACACACGGCATTCCAACGGCGAACCGGCACACCGGAGGATCGAGTAAACGACTGTCTGGCGAGGAGAGCTCTCGATACCAGGTCGAATCGTGCTCCTTTACAGATCACACTTCTTGCAATGCACTTTTCTTCTTTTTTCCTTTTCTCCTTCGTTTTCGTGTCGATTCGCGGCAACTCGGATTCTCTAGTAGAAAGTGTTTTTGTTCGAGGTGTTTAAATTGCTCCTGCCTTTTCGCTTCGTATTGTCTAGTTTCCGGTTTGGTGGCTTTCCCTTCGGATATTGGACAGTGATAAATTGTACATTTTTCATGAAGTAATGCTATAGTGAAACTTAATGTTTTGACAGGTTAATGAAATTACGAATTGCGGTAGAAACAGTTTATATTTCACACGTATGTATTTTTTTACCTTTCTTCCTAAGAGTCTCTCTTGAGTGAAACAGATCGATATTCGACGCTCTGCACAAATCTCACAGGGGATAAACTGCCAAAGGGTTAATTTCTTCCCAAGAATCTCTTTCTCGAAATTCTGCCCAAGTTTCACTCGAGATAAACTGTCGAGGGGTTAATATTTTGTAACTAATATTACGCATAAATGTTGAAATAAAGGCAAACTGAGTGCAGACTAACGGAAGATCCTCGGCAAATTGCAAAAATCTGTTTTTTCACTAAAACATCGAGATCACCTTCAATAATTTCTCTACACTGACCACGCGTGACAAACAATTCACAAGTGACAAATTCAACGACACAGGATAGAGGTACTTTTATTCAATAACTTGCTAAAACAAATCATTAACGTACACAAACCGACTCAACCTACATAAATCGGTCCACAAGACTAAACGGGTTAAAGAACGCGCTTCTTCAAAACATATTCCTCAATACCAACCCAAAAAGTCATATTTCAACCATTTGCGATACCAAGCATAACCATTAAAAAAAATATCGCTACAACGCAAAGAAAATTGAATAATACTGGAAATAAACACGGCTCGGTTCGCGGTACGCCGAATTAATGGGATCCCCCCGTTAAAAATGATCGAATTTCACAGGTAATTATCTCCGCCGACGTTTATTCGTAACAATCACGTTAATTGAATTCACGCGCGCGTGTGTGTGTGCACGTGATAGAAGCAATGCCGACAAAACACCGACTCGTCTACATCTACACGTTCTACGATAAACATTTATTTACGAGGATAATCACGAAACGCTTTCGCACGGCCAATAAACTGATTCGAGTGTTTACCGTCTGCCAAACGTTATTAAAAATATTACTAGAGGTAGGTAGAGGTGGTTGTTATGCACAATTTTCAACGATAAACATTTCTCACGGGCGAATTCACACGCCGAAGGCGCGAATAAACAGCAACCCCGTCACGTCGATTTCTCTTGTTTTATCCAAGCTGCTTGCCCGCGTTCGAATCGCCGGAAAAATCGAGCGACACACACGAGTTAACGGTCGTAATTCCGGCAATAAACGTTTTCGTCGGGAGCTAACGAACGAGAGAACGCGACCTCTTTTTTTTCACCCTCTGTCTCTCCCTCCCCTTTCGTTTCGTTATTTCTCTTCTGGTTTTCACCCTTTCGTCGCGTATAATTCGACGACGAGAGACCAGAACGAACGAACGACGGAGGAGGAGAAAGTTAGCTGGTCGAGAGCGTTCGCTGAAATTTAACGACCGCTAAAACGCGACCGCGAGGATACCAATTACAGGCGGGAATACGGCGTCGAAAGCGTGAAATAATGCCGCAAAGAGAAGTTAACGGGCGACATTTACGGTACGCTAAACTTTCGTGACGATCGACTCGGTGATACAGTAACAGGTAACGACGGAATCATTTTCGCACCGTAGCTGCACACCTTCGCCACGAGGGGCTACTATTCGAGCCGCGTGGAAATGTCACCGATCGTTCGCGATTTGTCACGAGCCGGACGAAACCGGGAACACGATACAGAGCGTTCGGTGGTTGCTCGATATTTATTGGCCTGTTTGCGGAACGTCTCTATTCGCGACAGAGGGAAGACGTTCTTTTCGAGGTCAGGAGATACGAGGTGAGGTTAGATTGCTGGGCAGAAACTGTGATTGCTGAATTATTGTTGGGAGCAGAAGAGTTCACGTTTGGTACGGTTGTAAATGTTAGGTGAGCAGAGCTGTTTGGAGTTTCGTTCACATTTTTCAAGGAATTTCAGCGAAAATCCGAAAATTTCAGTGAAAATCGGAAAATTTTAAAAAGAATATCTGTGAAAATCCGAAAATTTCCGGAAGAATTTTAATGAAAATTTGTTTAGAAAGTTCGTGGTTTCGTATTATTGTTGTAACTTTCCATTTTTCAAAGAATTTCAGTGAAAATCCAAAAATTTCAGAAAGAATTTCAGTGAAAATCGGAAAATTTCAGAAAGAATTTCAGTGAAAATCGGAAAATTTCAGAAAGAATTTCAGCGAAAGTCGGAAAATTTCAGGAAAAATTTTAGTGAAAATTTGTTTAGAAAGTTCGTTATTTCGTATTATTGTTACAACTTTTTGATAAAGCTTTAAACAATCTTTGTTTATACAACATTTTGTTTTCTTACTTATATTCATAGAATGTATTGTCAAGGTTTGATCGAAAAAAGGTGATACGTACAATTTATTAATTTATTTTCGCACTTGACAGGTAAAATATTGCTATTGACTGAAAATTAGGCAACTCCATAATGCACCAGATATTTGACTATCGTGAAACATTAATTTTCAACCATACGTGTCTTTATTTGTATGCCAGCTGAGCGTGCAGTAACGAAAGGGTTAATTGTATGCTTAATTATGGTTATCAATAAGTAGCGGAAGTACTATTGCACGAAAAGACTCTTTTACTCACGTGGAAATGAAGGAACGAATAAAATTGCACACCGAGAGCTAATATCGAATTAAGAAAATAAATCGTCCGGAATGATTTACGGTGGTGCACGTCGTTGTGTCGCGATTGTTAATAGCTTTCTCCTTGATTGCCTCGAAAACCCAGAAATTAGACCGCGCTTTTATAGAGTTAATAAATTAACGCCGGCTCGAAAGGCTCGCGAGTCGAAGAGGAGTCCCCGTGAATGCGCTAATTGCCATTCACCGTCGGGCCGGTTCGGCAAAATTGTAGCTGGAAAACAGACGAGCGCGATAAACTTGCCATTACACGTGGTTGTTTTCTCTCTCGCGTTTCAATTCCCTGCCACCGGGCGAGGCCCCGGCTTCGTTGCGCAATTCGAGAGAGTTTTTCACGACGAACGTAACCGTGTCCAGGTGTATCCCTTCAAGTAGACTCCGTTCTCTGTTTCTCTCGGAGAGACGAGGTATTAAATTAAATTACCGCATCCTCCATCTATGTTCTCACGACCTCTTTAGCGAGTGCTACTCGTTAAAATTCTCTGTACACCCTTCAGCGTGAAGCAAACATCGAGGAAAAGGGATTACTCTTGTGGAGAACAGGTGCGAGGAGTAATTGAGAGCAAGGCGTCGATTAGAGGTGTGAGAGAACGTGGAAATGTCGGGTCGGGTCGGGAATTCTTTCTGGGATCGGGTCGGATTCTTGGAAGTATCTCGCGATTTGAGAATATCGGGAGTTCTGAGAATTTCGAGAACCTGAATCACGTTTTGGGACTTGCTTGGGATGCTAGAGGTGTGGGAGAACCCGAAATTATCGGGTCGGGTCGGGACGAGTTCCCGAAAATTTCGAAATTTCTGATAGTATCGGAATTCTCGAAAGTGCCGGGATTCTCAAAAGTGTCGGGATTCCTCAGAGTGTCGGGATCCTCAAAAGTGTCGGGATCCTCAAAAGTGTCGGGATTCTCCAGAGTGCCGGGATTCTCAAGAGTGTCAGAACTCTCAAAAGTGTCGGGATTCCTCAGAGTGTCGGGATCCTCAAAAGTGTCGGGATTCTCCAGAGTGCCGGGATTCTCCAGAGTGCCGGGATTCTCAAGAGTGTCAGAACTCTCAAAAGTGTCGGGATTCTTCAGAGTGTCGGGATTTTCAAAAGTGTCGGGATTCTCCAGAGTATGGGGATTCTCCAGAGTGTCAGAACTCTCAAAAGTGTCGGGATTCTTCAGAGTGTCGGGATTTTCAAAAGTGTCGGGATTCTCCAGAGTATGGGGATTCTCCAGAGTGTCAGAACTCTCAAAAGTGTCGGGATTCTTCAGAGTGTCGGGATTTTCAAAAGTGTCGGGATTCTCCAGAGTATGGGGATTCTCCAGAGTGTCAGGACTCTCAAAAGTGTCGGGATGCTCAAAAGTGTCGGGATTCTCCAGAGTGCCGGGATTCTCAAGAACGTCGGGATTCTCCAAAGTGTCGGGATTCTCAAAAGTGTCGGGATTCTCAAGAGTCGTCGAGATTCTCAAAACTGTCGGGACTCTCAAGAGTCGTCGAGATTCTCAAAAGTGTCGGGACTCTCAAAGTATCGGGATTCTCCAGTGTCGGGATTTTCAAAAGTCTGGGGATTCCCCACAAGTGTCCGAAGTAAATAAGTAAAAATAAGTAAGTAAATAAATTTTAAAATGTGGTTTTCGAAAACGCCTAAAAAGTCGAAAAACTGAAATCGCGAGTCTCGAAACTACAATCGGGTTCTCGGAATTTCCGGGAATCTCGACATTTTCGAGAATCCCGCCTCTTTCGGGAACCCCCGACATTCTCGAGTCGTGAGATACTTTCGGGAACCCGACTCGATCCGACCCGAACTCTTCCAAACCCGAATTCCTCTCGACCCGAATTCTTTTCAAGTATCGAGTTCCCAGCATTTTCGGGATCTCGCACACCTCCAGCATCGATTGACGATAATTCCATTCTCGATACTTGCAACAATTGAAAATCTCACCATTACCACGGTAAGATCACACATCCCATCTGTTCAAAACTAAAAATCAATTCGAAATAAACGATATCTGGGCCGTACGAAGGACTAATTTGATTTGACCAACTCGAAAGAATCGATTTGCCGCCCTCTGTCGCGGGAATTGCGGCACGTGAACGAACTCGAACCGTTCGCGGAAATGTTTACGAGCAATAATTGATTTTATGCCGTAGCCCCCCCTCGGGATTTTAATAACCTCTTTTGCTTGTAAAAGAGACGCGCTCAACTACGAGACACACGCGCACAACCGATCGTTAATAACGCGCGAGGCGATTAATAACGGCGGACTGTTTTTCCGGCTGGCGATAAATTCCGCGCGCATTACTACCATGTCGCGAATAATAACAGTTATAATAATCATAATAATAACAGTAACAGTAACAGCAGTAATATCGTGTAACAGAAGCGTAGGGACAGAAGCTGTGGGATTAAACACGACACACGTTGCAGACGTAAACGATGCCCCTTTAATAACTTTTCCCACTTTGCCACAACGTGTTTCCCCTCGAATTTCTATTCTCGCGGATTTATCTGAATTTTTGAAAAAAAGAGAACGGTCCGCAAGTGTGCTCTTTGTTCTTCGATTTTTCGTTTCGAAGATTCTTTCGAAACTTCAGCCTTCCAAGCTGCGGAAGCTTTACCCTTTAGTTTCAACTTCAAACGAAACCTTGCTTTAACTTCAACAGCTTTTTTTCTCCTTCTTTCTGACGTTACACTGGAAGTTTTAGTTCCTATTGATTTCATAATTAGACCTCTTTTTGCCTTTCTTCCAGAACCTTTTTCAACTTTGTGTTTTCATACGGAGCTTTTGCAATTTCTACCCTTAGGTAAGTAGCGTGCTTGTTTTAATTCCGTCGTTTTACACGGAACTTTTTTTCCTAAACAACGAGATACATATTAGGATTCTACGGGTAATATTACATTTCCTGGTGCGGTTTGCGTGTTTGTCAACGAGGATTATTGCATGTCACGATGCACAATGTAAATACTGTATTATATTATACTATCGTCGGACGGTAATTCAATATTTGTCAATAACATTACGGAATATTGTGGAACAATTACGAACGTTGAATACGATCATCCGAAATATTCGCAAAATCTATCTAAACCCGTCGCATCGATCGAACAATTAACGAAGTCCTCGAGCACAGAACTATCATCCAGTGTTTCAATCAAATCGCAATGGTTGAACGGGCAATAAAATTCAAAGAAGAAAAAATGTTTATTTCCTCGACGAAGGAAGACGTCAACTAAGAGTTAAAGTACGTTGTTAAAATTCTATGTGTCCGGAGGAGATACGTAGCTAGCTTCTCGATTTTAAGCTCAACTCTACGATTTTCTCAACGTCGAAAATTGAATTTTACGTGGAAATTGCCGTTGTTCTTGGGAACAGTAAAGACTTAACAGCCTCTTAAAATAGTGATCGCTCGTAAGTTGTATTTCTTTCTCGATGTTCCCAAGCCGTTTCATATCTTTTTTTTCCAATTTATGCGTCCTCGAAACGAGTATCGACAAGTAGAAATAGTTATATTGCATTTATATTATATTTTTAACCTTAATGCGTTATTTCGTTCAGCTATAGGGACACTTATGGTCTTTGGGACAAGAAAGACCCGAAGACTTTATGTGCAATAATTTTTATTACCAGCATGCCATAAGAACCTAGAAAATAAACTTAAAGGAACATAAACTTGATAATAGCAAAAGATATTAGAAAAATAAGAAGGTAATGGGCCAAAACAGACCCGGACACTGAACTACGGTTAATAGGAACTTACAGCAACACTTACGATTAGGAGTGTTCCTCCAGTTTCTGATAAAAATTGACAAATCCCCAAAAACCGACTAAAAATCGCACGGACCATTTATGGTACGTTTAAAAAACCGAATTTTTTGTACACTAGAGGTACGCAAGGACCCGGAAATGTCGGGAAACCCGATATTCGGGACGAATCGGGAGGAATTCGGGTTCTCATAATTCTCACGACTCGAAAATGTCGGAATTCCCGAGAATTTCGGGACCAACTTTGTCGAATGCGAACATAAACGCGTCCCAAGGTAGTCCCGAAACGTGATTCAGGTTCTCAAAATTCTCTTAGACTTGAAAATGGAATTCCCGAGAATTTCGGGACTAACTTTGTCGAATGCGACTATAATACGCGTCCTAAGTCAGTCGCGAAACGTAATTCTGCGTCTGAAAATTCTCACGACTCGAAAGTGTCGGAATTCCCGAGAATTTCGGGACTAACTTTGTCGAATACGACTATAATACGCGTCCTAAGTCAGTCGCGAAACGTAATTCTGCGTCTGAAAATTCTCACGACTCGAAAGTGTCGGAATTCCCGAGAATTTCGGGACTAACTTTGTCGAATGCGACTATAATACGCGTCCTAAGTCAGTCGCGAAACGTAATTCTGCGTCTGAAAATTCTCACGACTCGAAAGTGTCGGAATTCCCGAGAATTTCGGGACTAACTTTGTCGAATGCGACTATAATACGCGTCCTAAGTCAGTCGCGAAACGTAATTCTGCGTCTGAAAATTCTCACGACTCGAAAGTGTCGGAATTCCCGAGAATTTCGGGACTAACTTTGTCGAATGCGACTATAATACGCGTCCTAAGTCAGTCGCGAAACGTAATTCTGCGTCTGAAAATTCTCACGACTCGAAAGTGTCGGAATTCCCGAGAATTTCGGGACTAACTTTGTCGAATGCGACTATAATACGCGTCCTAAGTCAGTCGCGAAACGTAATTCTGCGTCTGAAAATTCTCACGACTCGAAAGTGTCGGAATTCCCGAGAATTTCGGGACTAACTTTGTCGAATGCGACTATAATACGCGTCCTAAGTCAGTCGCGAAACGTAATTCTGCGTCTGAAAATTCTCACGACTCGAAAGTGTCGGAATTCCCGAGAATTTCGGGACTAACTTTGCATAATACGGCCATAAATGCGTCCGGAGCTATTCTCAAAGCGTGATTTGAGATCTCAAAATTCTCTTAGACTTGAAAATGGAATTCCCGAGAATTTCGGGACTAACTTTGTCGAATGCGACTATAATACGCGTCCTAAGTCAGTCGCGAAACGTAATTCTGCGTCTGAAAATTCTCACGACTCGAAAGTGTCGGAATTCCCAAGAATTTCGGGACTAACTTTGCATAATACGGCCATAAATGCGTCCGGAGCTATTCTCAAAGCGTGATTTGGGATCTCAAAATTCTCTTAGACTTGAAAATGGAATTCCCGAGAATTTCGGGACTAACTTTGTCGAATGCGACTATAATACGCGTCCTAAGTCAGTCGCGAAACGTAATTCTGCGTCTGAAAATTCTCACGACTCGAAAGTGTCGAATATCCCGAGAATTTCGGGACTAACTTTGTCGAATGCGACTATAATACGCGACCAAAGTCAGTATTCTCGAAACTCTCGAGAATCCCAATATTCTCGAATCCCTAGATACTTTCACAAACCCGACCCGATCCGCAGAAAAATTCACGACCACGGGTTCTCGCGCACCGAAAACGCGGTATGCAACTGTTCACCGAAATTCCTCTAACTGTTTCGACCCGCGACAACCGTGGAAATAAGGAGATCCACGGCGGTGGTTGCACCGGCTAATTTATCGCGTCTGCCTGTTCCGTGTAGCCGATGTTTCGACTTTTCGAACGTGTCCAATGCCGACTATTACCGCGCTGGTAGAGGCGGGCGCGAAGAATGCGAGAAGTGGCACAGAGAGACCACGTAACGTATACACACACACCACACGATTATCCATTCGCCGTATATATATATCTACTTCTTCTTCGTCTTCCTCGTCGTCTCCTATAAGCACGCACGTCGCCGTAAATCTCGTTACGGGCTTATAATTTCGTTCTAAGTGAAATTAGGCGCAACGCCGAGGAGAGCGAGCGCCGCAAATTGAATTTGCATAACATATCCACCGATCACCAGTCTCGACGACGAGGTTTGTGCAACGTTCTACGCGCGCGGTCCTCGCATCCGTGCGCCTCTGTCACGCAGCATCGAAATAGGTCGCCGAGACGGATCCTGGTGCATCAACGACAACGTCGATGCGTTCGCCGGAATCGTTATCTTCGCGTTCACGTTCCGTTATAGCGGCTCACGCGACAGATTCCACCCAACTGTTTGGTACTTATTTGCATTCCGACTGGACGAATCGGGTAACCAGTTTCTCTCTGCCGTGGGATTTCAAGTTAGATTAGGTGGTAATTTCGGATACCAAGGGTTAATTGAGTGGGAATAGTGGTGAAAGTTTTCAAGTATACTACTCGTCGAAAGTTGGGGATCGTTTATCAGTTTACGTCGATGGTGAAGCTGCTGTCAATTTGTTTTTTCTTTTGTGTAGATTAACAATAATTTACTCTGTTTTGGTAGATTTTAGTAACGAGAAATTTGAATCTTTTGTGAAAATTTTTGAGCATGCAAAGTATAGTGGTTTTGAATTTTTGGCTAACTATTTGAGGAATGAAATTTTAAAAATTTAACTATGAACTCTTGGTGATTTGCCATGGAATGATTTAAATTTGAACGAAGATTGACGCTTTTTAGGGAGTAAAATAGACTACTTATATTTTAAATTTTCTACGCGGATATTGTGCAACCTGATAAACACGGCAAAGCGAAAATGCTAAATCGTAACGAGAGGGTAGAGGAAGAAGGAACGTTAGCGAAATGGCGAGTGAAAGGAGGAGAAAGGTAATTCGAGAAATGTTGAGCACGTCGTGTCGTAAAAAGTGAACACAGAATATCAATTATTTACGGTGATAAGATAATTATTCCCCTTCGCCGAGGTAGAATTACAGGAAATGGAGAGTGCAAAGGACGACGTACGCGACATTTTACGATCGATCGATTACAACCTTTCCTCCGTTTTATCCAGAAAATTTGCCAAAACGAGGCAAATTCCCCCAAAATAATTACAATTCGTTAAACTTAACGAATTATTTGCGTTTCCTCAAAATCTTCG